TATATGGGTAGTTCTGTATATTAGGGTCCCCTTTTATGTCCCCAATATAATACGGCACCCTTATAAAAAAAAAAGACCCTAAACGGGACGCGAATTTAGAAAACTACCCATATCCGAACTCTACACCCTAAACCCCACTGGAGTGCCTTCTTCTCATCGCCCCACCGGCGCTTGCTTACGTCCTGAGAAGCTTAAGGGATCGGAGATCATGGAGGGGTTCGGGCTTGGTCCTTGTCAGTCAAGGTTTTTACGGTTTAGGGTGAAAGGATTTAGGATTTTGAGCTCCATAAGGATTTTGAAAGGGTTTTAGGATTGTAAGCTTAATGGTTGAGGGATAATTACAAAACTTGATGCTTTTGGAGGTTAGGGTTTTAGGGTCTTTGAGCTTTAGGGTTGGGGCGCAGGAAGAGGGCTAGCTGCCCAGACCTGAGACCTAACAGAGTATGCGTTGAGGCTACAGCCCAATTTCTGAACCGAAACACATCCTGTGACCTTAGCATGAAAGAAACCCTGAGCCCTACACCCCTAAACCTCCTCTGATTCAAGGCGTCGAAGTTGGCTGAGACCTCTTAGCCCGCCGTCGGATGGAGGCGCAGGGTGCTCGAAACCTGATGATTTCTGCGAGTGAACTTAAACCTAAGCCCCTTAGAATTTGCGGATTTTGGAGCCGTAAGCACAGATGTAAGCAGGTCACAATCAAGACAGCCCAGGAAAGGCTGTCATGTCTGCTGATGCTGTGTGACTGATGATGCTGTCGTCGACGTCGTCATCGTCTTCTTGTTCGTCGTCGAAGTTGCCGTCATCGCCTGTTGAGAATCAACTGATGCTGCTTCTATGAGTGGTGATGACAGCTGATGATGAAGACACTGACGATGATGACGGTAATGACCCAGACCATGCTCATGATAATGAAAATGTCGATGTTTGCGAGGGCCATGAGGATGATGGCAATGGCGATGATGACGGTGCATGAGTGGTGATGTCTTCGCTGGCCACGACAATGATGATGATCATAGCGATTGCTCTTGTTGCTGGTTCTACCCTAAGCCCCAAGCCCGTCAACAACAAGGTGGGCCCAGTCCTCCAGCATCCTTGGCACGACGCTGTTCCTCGGCTGGCACGGGTTTAGGGGTTCAGGGCAGTTTAGGGTTCAGGGATTGGGACCGAAACCTACTCTTCATCAATACCCTGACCTACGAAAGGGACCCGGTTGGATAGGCCAAGGCGACAGAATTTGTTTAGAAGGCGACAAGTTTGGTTTAGCTGTATCTGCTAGTACACGCATATAAGGATTCCTTGGGGAGCTCATTACGTACTACGCTCGGTCTCCTACAATAAAAAGTTTGCAGAGAGACCTCCTCAAAGACCTCGAGCTTGCACCAGGCACGGCAAGCGATGATGATGTTTAGCTTATCGAGGTCAAGTTCTTGTCAAGCAAAAATCTTTGTGTTGCCATAACAGGCATGTTGCGTAACTACTATTCCTTCACTAATTAGTATACCAGTGTAAAGTGAATTTCTTAACCAAAAACAACTTGCTGAACCCAACTCGCAGTTGTCCATCAGCTGTATTGCTTCGCAGCATCACCGCGATTACTTCATTGAACCGAAACCTGGCACCCTGAACCCCCAGCTTCAAAAAAACGGATGGGGCTCACTCTAAACCCTAAACCCTAAACCCACGGTTTAGGGTCACTGCCTGGAAAAGCTGCAGACCGAGCTGCGTGCAGCCAGCCGCCACACCCGAGAAGAAGAGCTCGAGGATTAGCACTCCCAGGGAACCTCAACACCCATTTAGGGGTTTAGGGTTTAGTGTTTAGGGTTTTAGGGTTTAGGGTTTAGGGTTACTTGCTTTGGATACTGTGGCTGTTGTTGGTAATTCATGTCCTAGACACACTGTTAGCTGATAGTATGGTTGGGGGTACCAATCTGCTTCCTTAGTTGCGTCTTATCCTTGTTGCTCCTGATTGACATTCTTTTACCCTTTACCCTTCGCCAGTGGTCTTAGTATCTGCAACAGGGTACTAAGAGAGGCTCATGGTGGTGGCACTTCATACCAATCTCTGAACTAAATCCTGCACCTCAACCCTAAACCCGTTCCCTAAGGGTCCAAAGGACCTAATAATCACATAATGCGGTTACGCATAGTGGTTTTGTAGGTTAGTATCCAGAACAGTATATTTAATATGATGATTAGGTACTTGGACCCTTTGGGGTTTCGTTTCCTCTGAAGTCTCCGAGGTTGCAGCACACGTCTTCCCGGGATAGACCTTCTGCAGATATCGGGTTGACTTGTAGGCGTTACTCGAAAGCCTGAAGAGTTTAGAGTCTCTGCGCTCCGGATTCAAGAACTTAGGGGTTAGAATTGAGTTTAAGCTAGGGCCTAGATTACAAACACAACTGCCCAAAGTGCGGCTGGTTTCAGCTCGGTTTCTCCACTTTGAGTTGAGCAATGTTGGAAATCAACCGTGACTCTTGGGTACTGCCCCCATACAGTAACAGTCTATAATAGAGCTACTATTAAGGGCCTAATATATCCATAATATAAATATTATCCAACTGTTACTGAGTGGGGGCAGTACCCAAAGTGAAGCATTGGAGTGCGACGATCAACGCCCCAGCGGCATTTCCGATGAAACTCCCACGACGCCGAAACCTGCACCCTGTAGGCCTCAACCGCCTGAATGTCTAGGTCGAGTTTTAGGGTTAAGGGTTTAGGGTTTAGGTCGAGTTAATGGGTTTAGGGTTTAGGCTTTAGGGCTTGCCAAACCCTAATTGCCAAAAACCGCACAAACCCGTACAGTCCCAAAGCCCTGAAGCCTAAATCCCTCAACACCCAGATCCGTAAACCCCCAACCCTCAACCAATCAACCACCTAAATCGCCTAATCCCCTGCAAACCCTAAACACTAAAGCCCTCAACTTCGGCGAGCCTTCTCTCGCGAGCATGGCTGCAAGCCCTCGCGCGCAAAGCAACGGGGAGGAGAGGCTGAACACCACCGGGTTTAGGGTTTAGGGTTTAGGGCTAGGCCATGTAACCTACCTTTTGCGGCTTCCTTGCTATTGCCGTGATTTCTTGATATAAGTCCTTAAGAAGGTAGGTTCTTTAGGCTGCCCAGACACTGAACATCCCTAAACATCAACCTAAACCCTAGCCCTAGACCCTGAGCCTAAACCTAAACCCCGAACCCTCAGTTCTACTGTGGTGCACTTCTAGATGTTTTCTGGCGTGCAGCACTTGATTGCTAAACCCTCAACCCCAAAACCCAAAACCCCAAACCCCAAACCCCTAAACCCTCTTGTCAGGCTAATCCAAGGAGTGAGGGCCCTAGGACCTTCCAAGGGCCGAAGGGTCACTTAACATAGGAGGTTTAGGGCT